TCATCTACATTGTACTTTATGTGATTTAAATAAGTTTGCAAAGCTTTGTCTGTACATATGAAAGTACGTACCATTTATCTTTCAGAAAGTGGCCAAGTGCGAATATCTGTGGTAAAGATGAGATAATTCATAAAACGGAAAACGTAGTTACCGTCTTATCAGTGAACGGAGTAAAGCCCATATACAAATCCATCGTCTTACACATTCATTTATCTTTTCATAATTTTGCCTATCCCATCGTGTATAGAAATAGCGAAACGACCTTACGTGGCACCGGGTAACAAAAATCCAGACAAAGTTAAATGAAATGTATGGTGTTTGAACTTAATGCTTCCAATATAGAATAAGGGACAGAAAAAATCTCTTCATGTATGGCATGCTGTCGGGACCGTACACCTTTATATTATGGGACCCTTATCCGCAAGGGATACAAAAAAGAGCTTGTTCTTTGAAAACAGTGTTATTCATGTCAACAATCATTTTGCATCGTAGCACGTAGTTGAGTTGAATATGTCAATTCATTCGCGCAAAGGCCTGGTCGCCTCTGTACTCTTTGTTTATACAAGCCGTGTCCTGTATTCACGCGCTCGATTAAGAGCACACAGAATCGAATACTCAATAAAATGGTTTGTCGAACCGTGCTGTAAAGAGACCAAACTCGTTGAAAACGGGTTTTATGTGTTTATGTATCGTTGCAAAATTTTTCAATGGGCGAATTGACATGGTCGTCAAAAAGCGCCTATTTTTTTCATTTAGCAAACGCATTATTAGGCAAGGTGAAAGGTGTACAAGCTGAATGCTATTTCATTTGTGAAAAATTTTACTCTTTTAAAGCATATTTTAAAAATAAGAATAGTGAGTGGAATATTCCCTTCTCTCTCTTAATCTTATTAAAGATGTCTAAACATGTAAACCTGTGATAAGTTATATAAAAAACAAAAATACGGAAAAACGATTACTTAAAACCAGAGTAATTAAACAAGTTTTTAAACCAGTGGGTTACCAACGCCGGCATTTATACGTCTTCTGAATATTGAAATAACCGATTTGCATTATTTACAGATGTTTCATTTAGTAAAACACGATAAAAAATAGATATACGTACACAATTTGCTTTTTATGAACTACGGTATGATACTGGTTATTATAGTTGCATATTGAAAATGAATGACAAACGCTTCAAGGCAAATGTCAAGTATTGCGTCCATTATTTTACCATTTGAGAAATATGTGTCCAAGACCAGGTCACACGCCAACTAATAGCTCACAGTCCCTTTTGTCGGCCATTTTGTAAAAAAATTCTATCAGGACATACAGAAAGAAAAGCATTTCAGTTGTTAGAAAGGGAATCGTAACGTCGGAAAACAACCGTATAGTGATGCATTAGTCGATCTACTGGTTAATTCAATTGACGACAGCGTCAAAACATCTGTCGTTGAAGACAACACATTGATCCAATTAGAGGAAACCTTAGACATTTGTTCGTCATCCATGCTCGCCGTCTATGTGGTGATTAATTGTTTAATTATCTTTATTCAAATTTTTCAATTTTCGAAGGAAAATCTATTGGTTTTTTGTAGAAACCTGTGTATTTTCGATACCCATAAAGTGTTCAGATTACAGGTAAAAAAAAAAATCGCTTTCCACTGTGTCTTGGAATTAAAATTCAATTCGAGGCAAAGAACGCAAAATTTTTGAAATTCACACATAGGGTATACTAATTCTAAAGCCTGTTGAAGGTAAGGGGTTCATTCATCTTTTTAAAGCAAACCCTTGAAGATTGCACAACACCTTCGGCATAGTAGTGTACACATATAAATATTCTTTACATTCATATAAAATTAATAAAATTGCGTGGAATCACATATTATCTAGTATTATTTATGTACACGCATTATTTTAACTACTAGCGCTTAATTCATAACGCATTTCTTAAATTTCCTTTATGAATAAATCAAATATGTGCTAGTGATAAGAAGTAAATTTGAATAATGGTATGTGCATGAATACATTTCACTTACGACAGACACCAGATTCAAATCTGCAAAATATCTCAAGGATTCACTATGCCATATCTCTAAACTAGACACGCTTTATATTTGTCGACCCGTATGACTGCATGCCGATTAGATTGAATTAAGTTGTTTTCTATGGATTACCCATAATCACAATACGAATCTCACTCCACGGTTTCAGCACACATTTTTGTTGCTCATTGGCCTCGGGTCTAGATACTCTCAACCTTCAAATCCGATTTGTGCAAAATTAGACTGTTTCAAGGTGTCAGGTAAGCTGTACAAGCAATCAGCAGCTTATGCACCATGCGCACTTTATGTTGATGGCCATTTTTTTTTTGCATAATCCACGTTCTTTAAAGATGGTGCATTAGACTAAGCATAAACAATGACAACAAAGCAACAATGCAATCTCGACACAGTCTTACTTAACTCAGTTTACAATCTCAACACATCAGGAACGCAAGAACGAGCAGAGGCGTTAGGAAGACGAAAATAACATAGGTTATGCTAATTCCAACGCCCGTTGTACAGCTTACACATGTTATGTTTACACAGTACATGGGTATAAGTGGGGTTTCAATTTGTTGGTGCACGAATGGCGTCTGACAGACAGCCTGAATTAACCACATCACGCAACGACCTTTACTGGGTCATATCAATTTGTCTTATATACGCTCATTATATAAGCTATAAACATATGCATGCTTAAAGAATACAGGTATTGGGGGAATATTTATATATAAATATAGCATGGTAACGCACTCACAGGTAAGTCTGTTGTTGGTATTTTTGCCCATAGAAACCCCCTTTCCGGATGTACCCCTGTAATTTTATTGTTTTCGATTTGATGGGCACCTGATTCCCGTAATATAAAAGTGTCATGTCGGGAGCGTTATAAACCAGACAGCTAGGCGTATAGTCAGGCGTAGGTAAGAACAAATGAGTACGGATACAGAGAGACAGACCGACAGACAGACTAAAGTTTAACAGCCACACTAGCATAAGCTTATGTGCAGCACTGAATTGGATCAATAACTCAATAAAGTCTCTTGTTTACACATGCACGGGCAGGATGATGACGCATTTGGATTCCAAGTCGATAATTTCGGACTCGAGGCTTACACGAATCTTGATTCATCTCAACTCAGCGCCTTTGGTTAGTTACATGATCTAATCTACTGTCTCCATGGAATAATTTCAGAAATATCCTGGAAACGATTGATTTGATGGTTTTCTTAAAATCATTCCCCTTGTATTGAGCGCAGCGATCACATACTCGTATGATTCATTACACGGGAGGTGTACACAAAGGCTTTTGTCGTCGCCGCCATTAACAAAGACCTGTGTGAAGCAGACGAACGTGCTCAGCATCGCTAGTGTCTTTGTGTGGCAACACAAAAGATATTGTGGCATTGTAGGACTGTCACGAATCCTTGGAAATGTTGCATATGTCGCCTGCAGCACTATATTGGTCGACATAAAGTTGTCCCAGTCCGGTTCCATTTCGTGAACATGTATAATAAAGCTATTAAACCATGGCCCAGCTGTATTTTATGTTTAGTGTCATGTAGTTGCTATTTCACGTTTTTTTTTTCTGTGGCGATATTGGTGATAAACGCTTATGTTACTACTTAATAACTCATTGATGGATGAGGGAGAGCTGGTTATTTTACCTGAAGTGATGATGACAATAAAATGGGGCGCTAAAATGGAGAGTTCGCCATGTAGTCCATCGCCTTTTTTATTATGCAGGAAATTGTAATTTTTGCTTTGATTTTAAATCATATTTTTCATTAAGAATTTACTGGTATGCTACTTGGACATGCCTATAGCCAATATGTACATGTATATAAAGTTACATAGACTAAACTATGATTTTTGGTGGGTATATTATTATACATCTCTTGATGAGAATACTGAAGCCGGGTATAAAAGTAACTACTTTTTTAAATCTTTCTATGTATATAATTGTATATGCATACAGTTTTGTGTCTTATTTTTGCTCGTCGTCGAATATGACTATCAATACCATCACGAATGTATAACCAAGAATGTTTATCCAAAATTACCAAAATCAGGCTGGAAAATGGGCCCTAAAGTTGATTTATTCCCAGTGACTGTGCATTTAATCAGACTGCCAATACCTGCATGTAGGCCTATATACAACATGCCGTATCCTTTTATTCGAATCATTTATAGGTTACAAAATATCTGCTTCCCTTGCCATTCCTCGGTGACTTTAAGTTTTGGCCCAACTATACATTTTTCGCGAAAATACATGTTTCTCAAGTCAATGTCGTGGTTTAACGATATATTTTACACACTCCTACATAATTTGCGTAACGATAATTTTTTTGTTTCCAATAACTCGATAGCCTACCATCATTTACAGACAGGCATAGAATTCAACAGCATGGTGAACATTAGCTTTTAAGCTTTGTTAAACATTTCGCATTTTATACCCTGCACGCCAGTGACATGAGGCGATGTCCCATTTACTGGCCCTCGGGCATTTTTACTATATGACTCGCCTTCAGACTACGAACACATTAAATACCATATGCATTTTGACTATGACTATGACTTTTGACTAAATAGGAAGTAAAAGCAACAAGAGAAAGTGATGACTTATTTTTGTCTCACGCGTTAGAAGCTATGGTTATATGTTACAGCTGCTTGTTGAGCCAGTTTAAGCGCACTCCGCTACCCAGGCCATCTTCGCCAACCAGGTGTCCGGTTTCACAACAAAGCCTATTTTAAGAGGCATATAAAATCCAACACATAGACTGTGGATATATAGGTGTCATAATGCACTCCTCTGATTTTTCAAATCTTAAGATTCTAAAGCACTGGCTATAAAGATCACTATAATCCCTTAGTTTAAATATTTATTAAACAACTACGTGGCACTCTTTCCAAGTGATAAGTCAAAGATACGATCAGCTTATAAACGCACATAGCGCGCCCCCTTGTGGTAGCCCACATGGTCTCGTGCAATATAGCGCCGAATGCTTGTGACTGCGAACTTCGAGCTCCGATGATTAATAGAGAATACAGCACAAAGAAGGCGAGTTTCGACATGCTACGAGTATTCAGAAAGACGTTATAACTTTCTTGAGTAAGTATGATAGTTTGTTGAGAGTTTAATGATCACGTTGCATAAAAGACAGCGGATGAAACTGGTTCTGTCGAAAGTTGGCCAATTCCACCTTCTACAAAATGGCCGCTCTACCCGCGGTGTCTTTGTTCGATGACACAAGTAAGTTCTAACACTCACAACTGAGCCAGGTTAGGAGATTATTACTTGATATTTTTATGAAGTATCGAGCATACAAAAGTAGATCTTTGCATGATGATTAGAGGCTTGGAGTACTGAGTTTCGATCGTGAAAGTTGTGTGAGTTTTATTCCAGTTTTGCGTCAATATTGCCAAAGAGTTAATGGGTTTGGTTAAGCGTGATAATGATACTTGTATAACACGCGTGACAAACGGCATATCAAAGTCCAATTTGGGGCTGGAATGACTGGCAACATTCTTTGATCGATGCGATTATTTAACTGTAAAGAGATTGAATTAACATGTTAGTGTATTTTATTGGTTGTTTTTTTTCTGTTGTTGTCTGGCTTCACAGGCTGCCTCCGCTCGGAGCGCCATCTTTAGGGATGGTAAATCTATAGAGATTGCGTGTGTGCATTATGTTTTATTGTGGCTCATTCCGTGGAACAATTTATTGAAGGAAAATTGAGTATTGGTATTTTAACCATCATTAGTCTTCCATAATGTGTATTTTCCAAGAAAATTAGATATATATGAAAGAGTCTACAATAGAAATTAATTATATTTTATCTGCAAGGTTGTAGGATTTGAAAAATAAAATGTTATTACTTTATGTTGTAATGTTTGCAAGCCAGCAAAATTTAAATATATTTTCAACAAAACCATCAACTTAATTTAAAGAGAAAAAAGTTTGTGTCATCAGTTATTCATCTGTTTCACAGATGTACACCAAATTGGCAAATGTTTTTGATAATTTTTTTTTTGTAAGTGACATGGGTATCGACATTAGTTCCTTCACAGTGACTGTGCCAAATGTATTGGTCAAAGTAAAACACCAAGTTGAAACTTCTGTATGTTGACTTATTTCTGGCATCCAGAATACCAAAGTATCAACACCAAGGATGAGCAAAATTTGGACTGTTGTTAATAATTCATTACTGATGCAATATATATTGTATAACAACAAAGGTCGACTTAAGTTTGAAATTTTTTTAGAAACCAGCATTTAGAAAAAGTACAGTGGTACAACTTATCTCAGTTCTCAGTTGGGAGGAGGAAATAAAGAAGACTTACATCTGATGGTGGCAGCATTTGTTTTTACTTTATATGCTGATTGTGTTTCGAACAGTTAAATAACAATATCACAACAATAACATGAAAAAAAGTTACAATAGTAGATCAGCATCTGTGTTAACCATATTTATCCCATGAAAAAAAAATGACATTAACATTGACAAGGATGCACATGCTTTTTAGTGTTGAGATCTTCATGTAAGAACATTTTAAATATGTGAAATATACATACATACATACATACATACATATATACATACATACGTACGTTTCCTGTAACATAATTTATTTACTTTCAATAAAAGTAATTTCATTAAAAAAATATTACAGTTTCATCTTACATGGCATTACATACAGCCAAATAATACACACAGTTGAATATTTGAATAGAAGATTCTATAGAAATGCAAATTTGATAAATGTTGAATATATTTTTTAAATTGTATCAGACCTACCCAACTACCAGACTCGGCACCGAATGATCCTGAATTCACCGGTATATCGGACCAAACTACACGTTTTCAAAGTGTGTGTTAGTACACGCTTCTAAGAGTCGCGACACCACTCTTGCCTAGTACGCGATGTGATAGTGATGATTCTCAGCAGGGTTGGAAAGTAGTGCATCTCATCTCAAAATTTGTTCTGTGGTATGATACTGTGAAATGCGTACTGACACACACCTTGAAAACAGGTAGTGTGGTCTGATCTACCTATGAAATTGGGATCATTCTGTGCCGAGTTTGGTAGTTAGGTAGGCCTGTGTGTGTAAGATCAGGCCTGCTTCTGTCCAAAACTAAGTCTATGTAAAATAGGAATTTAAAGTCTTTCCAAAACTTTCAGGAGCTGAAAAAAGTCGAAATATTTTATACCCACTCTTATTTAACAACTTTTTATGCTGATTTGTTAAGGCATAATGGCAGTGTAAATACTGCAGTTTATAATTAGATGAACAACCCATAAAATTATAATTGACATTTTTTTTCTGGTGTCATCAGCAATTGATATAAGTAATTTATTTATATGTCAAGTCCCAAATTAAATAACCCAATGCTGTCTCCACAACTTTATTATTTGCTCAACTTAATAGGGTATGACACAACTTTTGGTACCAAAATGTAGCATGAGCATTTATTATGTTCTTTTATCATCTTTGAGGTGCTTTTATAATCAACCTGCACTCACTCACAAGCTCCAGACCAAAATTATATGAATAATTGNTACTGGTTTAGCTGTATCACTATAAATTATTAGTAATGCTAGATGTGAAAAGACCATAAAACTGATATTGCTTAGTTGGATTAGATAGCCAGCTATTAGGGTAAAGCAGCCAGAGAATAATCCTCCCCCAACCCCACCCCGAATCTTGTGTGAAACAGGCTACAGAAATGTCATACTTCTAAGGACAGACGAATGGAATGTTCACAAAGAGCTAAGTTGTTCTCTGATTTATCTTATTATGAAGACGTAGTGAGACCAGTACACTTGCATTCACTCTTTCAATAAAATCAGAAAAAAATGTTGATCAAAAAATTAATTGAATGCAAATAAGTATAGAAAAATATAACAAAATTTCTCCTTGTAATGCGCAAGGGGATGCAAAATTACAGCTCCAGAGGCTTTCCTTCAGGATAACCATAAAGTTTCCACTATCCTCTGTTTGAAGCAACACCCAGAAAAGTAGTCTCCTGCAGAGAAAAGAGAGATTAACAGTCTTGATTTGGTCATTTAATACCAGTAATCTGTAAGAGACTATTTTCACTGGTCCTTACAGTAAGGGAGCCCAGTTATCACAGTCACCTGATACTTGGCTCCACTTATTGGAAACTGCATACAAAGTATATGCAGCAGCAAAAACATGAAGTGAAAAAAAGCTTTCAAATTCGTGAAAAATGAGCCCTCAAACTTGAGGACTACATGGTCATTCAGGGCCGTAGCCTGAGCAAAATGCCAGAGGGGGCAGTAAGCGGACTCGAGGGGGGCGAAGCCGCCGAGGGGGGAGGGTGTGGGAAGGGGTGTCCCCCTCGCACGGTGTGGAAAATTTTAAAAAACTGTATGTATAATACTGCATTCTGGTGCATTTTAACTGTTATTTATTGGTCAACCAGAAGTCAGGAATTGTGGGTTCATTTTGCCATAAGTACAGTCATTTTTTCAACACAACACACCAGTTGGCCTGGGGGATAGCTCCCTCAGGGAGGGTGAGCTTTTTGGCATAAACTGAGTTTGCTAAAAACAGTACACCTTTGTAAACAGATTGTTGAATGATTGTCTAGTGGCCATGAGTGCCTTTTCTCACAGAATTGATACCAACTTTGAAATTTTTTTTTTTTTTTTTTACCTTTGCCCCCCCCCCCCTGCCCCCCCGGAGGCTACGGCCCTGTCATTACACAGATACAGCCATCAGAAAAAAATTTTTTTAATTAGTTGGTGATTTAGGAGTTGGAAGCAAAGTAGGATGTCTTTGATTTACCTTGTGATAAACTTCTATATTCACAGTGAAGTTAATATGTTATTGTGACATTTTTGCCCTTCTTTGGCTTTTATTTATCTTCCTTTATTGTAGTTGTTGAGTATATGATGTGGGTCATAAAGTAAGAGGGTGTATAAAAGGAATTTCTTCGAAAAGTGGCATTGTTTTTAAGGTAAGAGTATTTCAACAGAACAACTATTGTGGCCTGTTACTTGTACTGTCTGGACTTCAGCACTGTCCTGGTCTGACCGTGAAGAAGTTATCATTACCACAAGTATACAGTTAATGCCATTATATATTATCAAGATAAAACCCAAATCTACACCACATATCTATATTAAAAACCCAAAGCTATATATATTGAACCCAAGGTATTTAGCATATTATTTTATGAAATCCCCTCTGCCATCTGAAGAAGCCAACTCTAACTTGAAGATAATATTAGCATCCGCAATTCTAAAACCCTACTGAAAAAGTGAAAATTTATTTTTTTTTAAATAATATTTAATAAATTTGGTTATATGTTATATTGTGTTTAAACTTATGTTTAAAATGAGATTGCACCTTCCCCCTCCCCCCCCCCCCACACCTCACATGAGGCATTTCATAACAAAAGTAACTAACAGCCCAATAGTTTTGATTATGAGATCTTTGAAATTTATCAAATATCTTCCAAATATTTACTCAAATTGTTCAAAGCACTGGGTAGATTCCATTGTGGTGATTATTAATCAATAATGCCAAAGTAGAATGCATAAACCATAACCCAATAAGTGATCGATAATGCGACATATTGAAAATATAGAGTTTTCATCATTGATCTCAGAACTATTGGGATCTTGTTTGTGGTCTGGTCAATAATTAACTGGGGTAACCTAAAATAGCTGATGAATTATTTAGTAAAGATGGATTACAGGATGTTATGTTCAAATATATTTCAACATTTGTCTTATCCAGGGTTGTGAGATCTGAGTAAAGTTATCAAATGGATTAAGGGCACATAGTGTGCATTACAACTTTATATTTAAAAAAAGGAAAGAAGTGATGACTTCTTGAAATGGCAGCAATTTATAACCAAGGTATACCACACCTATAACCAAGTTATTCTTTATCTAAAACTGTTGAAAAAATTGTGTACTATCAACCCAATTTTGAGTTCTTCATTCAGAAGTACACAAGTTGTTTTGTCAACAGTTTCAAGTTTAATTAGTCCATTAATTTTATTTATTTATTTTTTTAATTACAGGTGTAATGCAGTGACAGTGCCATGTTAACAACTGATGTAAACTTATATGGAATATTTGCAGCCTAGATAGAACAACAAACAGGGTAAATATTCTGGGTTTATCTAAGATTGATCTTTGCTTTCTTGGCATGGTCACAGTTTGTTGAGGCAAAGTACCTTTGCCAAATCAAATTTGAGAAGCAAAAAGAAAACATATTGGCGAGATTTTTTTTTTAATGTTGCCTCAAGCATGTGGTAGATATGAGGTGCCGACTTGGGTTCTGTTCTTACAGAGGTGTTTGCTCATACCAACCTTTATTTAGCTCCTCCCAGGGCAGCTTGTTCACTTATCCTCTTGTTCAAGTCTTCCCCTCACCCCAGCAAGTCTGCAGGTACGCACACACATGCGGACGTGCGCACACACGCAAACACACACTGTCTGCCTCTTTATTATTCAGTTTTGTTTTTATCTTTCATTGTTTATTATGTTCTGTTTTGTTGTGAGCGAATATTTTTTTATAAACTTTAAACTGATAATTTTGCAAAGCTTTACAGGGATTTGCTAGACAATGACTGATGTAATAAATCCTTTCAGAATTTTTGTTCTATGCAGAATTATCTGTAAGAATCATCCGAGACTGATCTTGCTTTGCATAATGATTTTATACATAGATATCAGTGTGATAAAGTGTTCATGATTTGATTATAAAAGCCACACGTGTTTTTATTCTTTCACTGGCATTTAGGTATTCATGGTCATATGCTTTGCATAAAAATTAATTACATTCAATGATAAGAATTTTTGTTGTATATTCAGATCACAATGGCAGAAGACGGCTTGAGTCCTGACGTGTTGGATTCTCCTAATACCGGCGACATGCCAAAAAGAGGCCTGAGAAATCGAGTGTGTAAAATATGCAAGTTCACCACAAGTGATCCCAGGGAATTTTCACACCACCAGATATCAGCCCATGATGAAGGAGCAGTGGAACACCTCAAACAGTTTACTCAGCAGGGGCGAAAGAACCCTATCTCCTCCAGATCATCTCCACGCAACTCCACAGAAAACGTATTTGAATCGGCTAATGGCGATAACTCGTGTGACATAATCGGGGATGTTCTTCTTGAGGAGGAAGGTTTTGATGACTTAGAAGAGGGGGCATACATGCGTGTTAGCGGTGGACACACAAGAACTTACAGGTGCTCTCACTGTACTCTTACGACCACCAACGCAACAGAGTTTCTCCATCACCAAGTAGAAGAACATGAAGCAGACTTTCAGATATACGAGTGCCCTGTCTGTAACTATGCAACTAAGTACAAACAAAAGCTTGGCAGACATGTGAAAGTACATTCACCGGCTGCGAGCAGACCTGGATCGGCACCAAAGATTAAAAGTGTGCAAGTAGACTCCACTTCTGATGAAGGTTATACTGAAGTTTATGAAAATGGAGATCCAAATGGCAATGTTGATGACTACAATAAATCTGCAGAGAATGATGGCAAAAATACACTGTTAAATGTTAATGGAGTTAAGTCACAAGTTGATGCCAAGGGGGCTTCAAGTAGGAAAAACATCACTGAATCAACAATTGGACAAGCTCGGGGTACAGCTCAAGATGGCACAAATGGTCTTGGCAGTGGTGATGAGGTGGATTCAGAAGAGGAGGTCATTGAAGTTGACCTTGATGATATTGAAGATGAAGATGAGGAATTTGATAGTGAAGATGATGAGGACATGAGCTTGGAGGATTATTCCACAAGCATGGAATCAGCCACAGTGATTGACATGCAGTCAAATCTGCCAGTCAAAAAGAGGGTTGCTGTGGAAAAATGGAAGTATTTTCCAATACAGTTAGAGAAAGGGAGAAAGTTTGCCTGCACAGCTTGTGGGAAGGCCTATTCATGGAAGAAGTCTGTCAACAAACACTGGAAGGACAAGCATGCCAAAATAACAAAGCCTGAAAACTTGCCCACTCTAAAAATCCCTTCACTCACTATCAAAGATAAGACTCAGCCAGTAAAGTTTGTTCATCCTGCTGTAGATAAAAACAAGTTTCTACCAGTTCAGGAAGTAAAGCCTACAAAAGCAGTAACAGCTGCCACTGTAACTCTTAACCAAGGAAACCAAAATGGACAGGGGTCAGCGATCAGCTCTCCCTTAGATCAGACATCGCAGACCAAGGCTGTGCTAGAGGTATCAACACCTAGAGTCAATGTCCACGACAAAATGTCTTCCACAAAGGTGTCTCAGGAGTCTCCTCCACCTGCTAGCAAATTACAAACCTCTAGCATCACCTTCCAAGCAGTTAACCAGCCTGCAGCTACCACTGCCATGCCAGCAGTGTCTTACTCATCACAGCCAGTCAGCCAGTTAACACCCATTCATAGGAAACCTGCCGCTCCGTCTGAAATCCAACCCCCCAGTAGTATGGAACACCTCATGAAGTTGATTCCACCACCCTCAAACAGTCAGGGCTTGAATTCCAGACCCTCCAGTCAGGGTTCCATTGAAGGACGTGGAGGAATACTGACCCCACCTAATTCCTTCTCAAGACCATCTAGTCAAGGATCTGTGCCAGAAAACCCATTCCGTGAACAGTCACCATCTTTGAACTCAAGCAATATGCAGGTTAATAATGATGGTGCCTTAGATCTCTCAGTCAGGTCAACCCCCCAAAATCAGCCTCCTGTGAAATCTGTACCCCAGTCTGCACCGATAATACCTGCGTACACTGCACAACCACAGGATGAACCGTTAGATTTCTCTGTGAAACCATCCCCAAAGGTGTCAGTGCCGTCACAACAACAAACTCAGAACCTATCTAGTGACGTGTCCACTGGGCGATCGTGGACATTACGGTGCAAGCAGTGCCAGAAAAACTTCATGACCGAAGAACAGTTCAATAAACATTTTCATGAAATTCATGTGCCTAACCTCATGGCCCCTATACAAAACCTGCCAGTCAAGTCTCCAGAAAACCAAGCTACTACGACCAGCAAGCCAGTGGTGAATGCACCCATTTTTAAATGTAATGTCTGTGGCATAAGGTACCCAACCAATAGAGGGCTCTCCAGGCATATGTATGAATCGCACCCAAACATCCCACCCCAACACTACCAATCACAGAATGCAGCAAACCAGATATATAGATGTAATCAATGTAATTATGCCACCAAGTGGTCAACAGAGTTGGAAAATCATAAGAAGAAGCACATTCAGTCCACACGAAACAAGTGCCCATCTTGTGGTTTTTCCTGCCCCCAGAAGGCTGACCTTCGAAATCACATTCAGCGTTATCACCCTTGGATGATACCAAAGATCAGGTTCCCTCAGACCGAAAATCAGAGTGGTAATTTAAATGTGCCATCTGGACAAACCTGGAGTTCTCAGTACACTTGGAATAGGGCAGCACACAGTCAGTCCACATTCCCACTGCAACAAGCACCACCATCCTACCAATCATCTGCACCCACTCAAGTAACATCTAAATCCAGTGTTGAAGTAATCACAATAGATGATGACCAGGGCGAGAGTGAGATCCCCAGTGAAGAAGATGGTATATCAAAGATACAGATTGCCAGTGTCCAATCTCTGAGCAACTTTAATTTTGAGAGCCAGGGTTTCACAGCTGAACAAAGTTACTCAGATCAAAGTACTGATGAAATGATGCAGGTCCAGTCACAGGATGGTGCCACTGTGGACATTGTTGTGCACAAGTGCCCCTTGTGTGAATTCCGTGCAAGATGGCCGTCAGAGATAACACAGCACATGAAGAACCATTCTGATGAGAAACCGTACCAGTGCCCCCGCTGTAGCCACTTTTCTAAGTGGAAGTGGGACATCGTGAAGCACATGAAGAAGTGTGGGGATGGCAGTGGCACTATTCATGATGTCGTGGACAACACGCTGGGTTCCACAGGTGAGGTAGCAAACACAAATCCAAGCCACATATCAAATACTAAAAGCCCCAGTCGATCAAGACCAACAGTTCAGCAATTACTTGCAGCCCGCAAGACTCAAGCTCTCAGTGGTGGCCCACCCAATGTGACAGTCCTGCCCTCAGGGTCTGTCTCTAGTCCAGCTGGAACATATGTTCACACGCAGGGAGTGACAACAGAGGTGACAGCCTCCAACGCACTTGCTATGAAGCAAGCTATGATCTCCCAGGCCACAGTGGCTGCTGCTCAGCCTGTGCTTCAAGGAGGGCAAATGATACTTGTGTCACCAGATCAATATGGGAAGCTGCCCATACCTAGAATAACTTCTCCACCAGGAACTAAGACACCTCCAAAGGCCTCACTCAAGTCTGTTCCGCCAAAATCCCCTAAATTCACCAGTAAGTATTTTGTTACATAAAGAACAAGGTTAACTTAAAAATCAGCTGCTGTGAACTTTTTTTTTTTGACTAAGACATTGGACAGTTACCTTTGGGCTGAGTGCTGAAATTTGATTAGTAATATTTAGTTTTGATAAAGTATAACGTAAGCCATGGAAAAATAATATAAATTTTAACTCTATATTTGCCTATGTACAGAAAGCTTGGAAAATGTTTTATATTTCTGAAACATTTGATTTTGCAGTACCTTTTCCACTTTTTAAACTTAAGTTTGATTTTTTTAAAGTTAAAACAGATCACGAAAATGATTTTAGTGCCATAATGTATAGTACGAAATATTTGGTAATGATTTCAATTCATTTTTTTTTTTCAATTACCAGGTCTGAATATTGGAGGTCAGCACCATTGCCTTCACTGTCCATTCATAGCATCGTGCCCTTCTGAACTGAAGAAGCATGCCTACATCCATTCAGATGAGTACCCCTACAAGTGTTCTTGTGGACAGGGATTCAAATGGAGAATTGACCTCAAGGAACATGCTGACAGCCTGCTGCACCGCCCTTTACCCAGAAAGACCCAGACTGATGTAACAGAAAAGCCTTCCAGTGAATCTTGGACCCTTTCCTCGGTATCAAACCGTCCTCCACCTCCACCCTACCCAGAGGCTATACAGGCTAAGAATGCACCAGATGTAGGGTTCCAGCAAGATGTACAGGGAATTAAGGATGCTTTACCCACATACAGGTGCAGTGAATGCCAATATGTCACCTATAAGAAGCACTTGTTGGAGGCACATGCAAAGATTCACAAGCAACCTGGGAGGCCAACAGGGGGAAAATTTAAATGCAAGCGCTGTGACTTCCAGGCCCAAGACTTGTCCTCCTTTCTTCAGCATCGAATAACACACTCTTCCCTTTCAACTGGAAACAGCCCTATCAAACCATTATCTGCAACAGGCCAAATCAGTAAGATGGTCACCAGCCAGGGGCAGACCTTGAAAGTCACAGACACCCAGACCTCATCAGCCGGGACTGCAGTTACCTTCAAAATGGAGAAGAAACATCGCCGTAAGCCTCTGACTGTTTACAAGTGCCCCAAATGCCCATACAAATGCTTTAAGAGATCTGGATTAGAACTTCATGAAGCAATGCATGAACCAAGAGGAGAAGATGCATTTGTTTGTGACTACTGTGACTATAATGTGTATAGCATGAGTCTTCTGTCCCAACACATGAAACTTCATGGTGAATTTGCCAAGAATAAAGTTACTCAGCCTCAGCCAAGTCAGGTGCAAAATGCCCAAATTTCATTGCAGCCTCTACAGCCCATTTCTAGTCAAAGCACTTTTGTGTCCCCACAAGTGCCTGGTCAGGCTGTCTTCCCAGGGCCCATGAATCCCCAGGAGAGTACAGTTCAGTCCAGCTTGGGACCTGCAGTGTTTCCTCAGGCACAACAGCCTTACGTGGAGACCTCCACTACTGACTTTATTTCCAGCAGTCAACACCAGCAAACCAGTTCAGCAGGGGTTACACTGCAGCAGCAGCAACAGCAGCAACAACAACAACAACAGCAGCCAAGTTCCACTGATGGTGCGGTGTCAGGAATGTACTGGACTTTTGTGCCATATTCACAGAACACTTCCACTGCAGCAGCTACCACAAACGTCTCCATGGCTCCCAGCTCCAGTGTTGTTGTGGCACCTAGCACTAATGTTGGCGTGACAACAGATATTCCAAGAGCAATTGTGGTGCCATCTACACCTTCCAGTGCAAGCAAGGTCAAGTCCTTCAGAATGATGACCCAGGATGAACCCAAGGTCAGAAAGGTTAGGGTTATAGGGGAAATAAGCAAGTACCAGTGCCCCAGATGCCCTTATGTCACCAAAAACAAAGGGAATTTTGATAAACATGTGCCCATGCACTACAAACGTTTACGTTTTGTTTGTGAATGGTGTGATCTCAATACTAATCGCCTGAATCTCCTGTACAGACATGCCCTTATTGTTCACCCAAGAGAGGCACACGCTGTAGAGAAGAAAGAATTTTTCAGACGAGTGAAACTGAAGTCTACGCGTAAGTTCAAGATGTATAAAATGGAGAATGAGAAGATGGTAGCCCATGATGTGAACAAGATCAGCTCTTCCTCTTCTGCAACACCCGTCTCTTCTACTACTGCTCTTGGTTCAGCTGGGGTGAGCATCTCAGCTGCTCAAGCCACTGCTGCTGTTCAGGCAGTGCAGTCAACACCCTTAAGCACCCTTAAAACACCCTTAAGCAGTGGGACCTCAAAGCTTGCACAAGAATACACACCAGTTACCACCATGGTGCAACAAACTAGACAGAAACTTCAAGGACCAAGCATGGTACCTCAGAACAACACCCTGGGTATGGAAAAGGGCATGACTTTTCATAAGAAGAGAAAATTCCGTTGCAACAAGTGTAATTACATCACAGACAACCTCTTTAACATCAGGCGCCATGTCCAGAAGCATGGCAAGGGCTACAGATATCAGTGCAAGTTTTGTGATTACAGTTTGGATCGACTAAATTTGCTGTGTAACCATGTCAAGCTTGTCCATGGCGTAGAGAATCCAAAACTGAGTGAGTCATACACTGTAAATCCAGAGGCCATCAATATGTACAGACCTCGCATTAAGCTTCCTTCAGTGTCACGTGTGAAGGTGCCTCCCACGAAACCTGGCAAATATAGGCCAATTCTCCCTGCTCCAAGTGCCCCTCAGATAATTGGCACTGCTACAGTTATTACCACACAGACCCATAGTTTAAATTTGGGCCAACTCGACCTGTGGAAAAACAAGCATCGGATGGCAGCACAGGAAACCAAGGTAAACAGTCTGTGCCAATTGTTGAGCCAGTGCAGGTCAAGATGGAAGAGGAAACTGATGAAATGTATGGTCAGCCCCCACCACTGACCATTGAACTACCAGTTGTTGAGAATGATATGGCAGCTGATACTCCTCTGAGTCCACCAGTCATAGCAGCACAAACTCCACAGGATCCAGTAATGGGCATTGAAACACCCTTTGGTTCCTTAGGCCCAACTTCCACAGCAGGTGTTCAGCACACCACTATCAACAAGGCCCCATCCTTTGCTGCTAAGCTAACGGATATAAAATCTGGACATGGAATAGAAGCAGAGAAAATGACTGAACAGTCCCAAGCTACAGGAAGAGTTCATAAACCTGGGCCTGTGAACGAAGCCATGGCCAAGCACCAGTGCCCCAAATGCCCCTATGTAAATAAGCACAAAGATTCGCTTCTAAAACATATTGAAATGCATGAGTACAAGGGCAGGTATAAGTGCCAGTACTGCGATTATAGTCTCGATAGACTTAACCTTCTCTACCAGCATCTGCTTGTGCATGGGAACACAGACAGTGGGTATGCACACAAGAGAAAACGGCAGAGAAAAGCAGTTGTGGCACAACCATTGTTACAGAGATCGAATAAGGGCAGGAGAAAAGTAAGAGCACTGAGACGAAATGAGCAACCCAGTCCAGTTAAAATTGAACCCAAAGAACCAGTGTCTTCTGCTTCTGCTGTCGGCGATTCTGTGGAAAATGAGCAAAATGCCAATGAATCTGGTGACGCCAAGCAAAAAACATTCAAGGAGTTCACAAGGGATCTCCTCAATAGACCGACAGTTGAAAATGTAACCCTGAAAAGTGGGAAATCTTGGCGACACAGTTTTATTCAAGAGGCTGAGTTTTTCAAGACTGGATCCCATATACGTGTCAGGTATAGGTGCCCCAAGTGTCCATTTGCCACCTTGTGTAAGAAGCTCATGCTGAAACACAGACACCATCACATATGCAAAGCCAAGTATGTGTGTGAAATCTGCGGGTATGCTGCTAAAAAACCGACCCATCTTCAAAAACACAAACGCCTTCATGAAGATAACCCAGATTTTCAATCCAGAGAAAGCACACCAATTAGCAACAGCGCTAGAGAAAGCACCCCGCTCAGCGGCACTGAGAGCATCCAGGACAGTAAACCCAAGAGTCAAGTGAATGAGTTGGGAAACGATGATGATAAGCCAGCGAGCCGCATTGATTATGAAGTGAATGAGAACAATTTTGAAAGCACTACAGATATGTATAATAGTAATCAAGATACGTCTGCTGCTGTGCAAAACCCAACAAAGACATATGGCTTAAAGCAACGCACATACAAATGTCGCCAGTGCCCATTCAGCAGTAACTCTAGCTTTGAGTTCCGTAAGCATGCCCATTTTCATGGCGCCATGATGAGGTATCTTTGTGACTACTGTTCCTACAGCGTTGAGCGATTTAATCTGATGTTCCAGCATAGAAAAATGCACATAAATGAGCCGAACTTTGATCCCAGCCCCCCTCCTGATTTTCTGTTGAATCCTCAGATGAGTTTCATGCAATCCCCAGCAAAGAAGAAAAGACGGACTGGACCCCAAATACCGGGTGGTCCTTTTCGTAGTTTGAAAAATGAATTTTTAGAAAATAACCCCGAAGTTGGGGGATCCGACTCCTCAAACGCCCTACAAGAGGACACCGCCCAAAAGAATTATCTTGTAAATGAAAATGAAAGCAAGCTGCCCGAACAAGCGCCAAAGAGACGAAGGAAGAAGAAGCGGTTTGGCCTGGGACTCGGGCTTGGCCAGCGTGTTGGAGCTGCACACAAGTTCCAGTGCTCAAACTGTCCATACAAGAGTCACTACCCAAGGATATTTCGGACTCACATCAGCATGCACGGATCAAACCAGAGGTATAAATGTGACTACTGTGACTGGAGCGCTCACCGTCTGAACTTCGTCATGAACCACCGAAAAGTTCACAGAATTCTGCCAACGTTTGTCCAATCACCAAGCCTAGCGGTGTTTGTGAACACTAACGCAAACACAAATGAGGGGACCGTCGCATCCAAAGCAACGGATTGGACTCAAACATCTGTGGAACAGTGGTCGGCGCCGCCACCGCCACCACCACCACAGCCTTCAACAGGCCCATCAACAGCTGCCGCAAAGCCTAGAGATACAGTATTCAAGTCTGGGCTATATCCTTGTCAACTGTGCCCTTTTTCTTGCGACAACGTCCAAAAGATGTATAGGCACAGAATCCTACACAGCAAACCTGGTAGATTTAATTGTAACAAGTGTAGTTATAGTGTAGGGCGCCGCAATTTGCTGTACCAGCACCAGAGACTTCACCAAGCGGCAGAGGTAGGCAGCTTGCCGGCCTTGAAGCAACGGAAACCTTGGAAGCGTTTACGCTGCCAATACTGCCCTTATCACACACACAGCCGCTTTTTGTTAGACAACCATCAAAAGAACCACACCTCTGTTGGCAAGTACAAGTGCAACCACTGTGGCTATAGCGTAGACCGATTAAACCTGTTGCACCAGCACCAGAAATTGCATAGAAAACCAGTCTGTGAGGAACAACAACAACAGCAGCCTAATACCGATTCTGGGGCCCAGTCGCCAGCTGTGGTAAAGTCTGAGTTCATTCAGAGCGCACCGGAAGCTCAGACCAAAATTTTAGTATCGTCAGTGGCACCGCGCGTGGGAAAACACACAGCAAGGAAGTCAATGAAGCAGTCTTCCGGATATCTTCGACCCGCAATGACCGGCTATCCAACTCATACTCGTCGGCCGTATAAGTGCAACAGGTGCCCATATTCTACAACCAACAAAAACAACCATGAAGTGCATGCCTCTATGCACGGCGTCAACAACAAGTACGGTTGCCCTTACTGCGATTTCTCCTGTCACAAAATGTACTTCATGACCGTTCATATTCGTCTGCATTTTCCAAATGGGCAACTCAGTGACGATACCATAAGACGCATGGCACAGTGCTCCAAAAGTAAGCCAGTTGTTCAGCTGACGAAGATGGGGATGTCCACCCCGACGGTCAAAGTGCCAGCTGGGGAACAGGTACACGGCGTCGTCCCGTTTGGCGCCTTGGATGAGCAACATGGTTCATTGCAGCAGACCATGGTTATCTCCCCGGAACCGGCACGTGAACCTTTCAGGAATGACGATGGTAAATTCGTCTGCCAATACTGCGACAGGTTGTTTGAAGAAAAAGACGCCGTGCTGCGACATGAAAAACAACATTTGATTGGCTATCAGTGATTGGCTTATTTGCATCTGAAACGCCGTCTGAATCGCTTTTTCAGTCGTAATTTTTGGCGAAGTCTAGGGATGTACCTTCCATACATTTCATGCTCTCCTAGCGATATGTTTTATACGGCCAGTAGATTTTTTTGCTCAGTACACTGCGATTCTGCTTTGGCTTTTAGTTGCAAAAGCGGTGCTAATTCTGCTTCTACTTGCATTGCCGTTTTTAATCACAGGAGTTGCCAAAGTAACAAGCTCTGTGTATGCCACGTCAATAAAATAACAGTAGGAAAGACGATGTGCATTTAAAACACAGATACAACTCGATTTACGTGGGTGGGATTTCACATTAGCAACTCCGTTGTTTTTTGTAGGGAATTTTAGTGACTGTACATTGAACAAATAATTTGTAATCTCATGTTTCCATAATGAATTAGAATATTACATTGATTTCTATATATGATTATTATAATCTTTAATCGAACAAGTCGAGCGATATACAATCGTTATGTAGCTGATATTTATTTTAGTATTGTATCCCATGTAGAATTATTGGTTTATTTTAAATATTTTAGTGTATCATATGCATAAAGCGTTATATACCGCATAATGAATAGCGTTAGATAGCAACGGACATTGGGTGAGTTGATGGTCAGTGACATAGCAATGAGGGCTGACCGGAAGCAATCCTCTGGACTGTCCAGTTTCTCATACTTTAAACGCCTAAGCTACGCCGGTAAGGATCTACCAAAGCGTGCTTTGCGCCAGAAATTACGTTGCTTGGATATCGAAATTGGTAGCACAGTGCATGTATCATGTACGTCATCTTTGAAAAATTGGAATAGCAATAACCGTTTTGTTTGCAAGAAATATAAGTAATAGAAAAACGACCTTAAAAATCAGCATTCCATTTTGCGTGTGAATCCATTCCTTGTATCTGAAGTCAACCGATCCCCAGCGTTATGCACAGTTAAGTTTAAGGATTAACTTTGCATCATTCTTAGTAGATAAAGGCAAAAAACATTTGAAATCTAGTTGATCATAAGCAGTAATTAGTACAGACTCACGCGATGTCTTATGGCGAAGTTTTTAGAAGTAACAGGTAAATTTGAAAAGTTCATGAACGTCATTATCTTAAAATCGTATACATAACTGATGATATTGACCACAATAAATGTAGACACAACCGATTATCTCGCCACAAATGTATATAACTATGCAATGAAATAAAATTATGTTACAAACTTTTGTTTTTAGCTTTGAAAATACTGCAAGACATCTCACATTTTTAAAATACAAATTGTATTAAAAATTATTAAACATTGAGCCCACTACACATGAATGCATGCATGAATAACCGTCCAAACACAAAGTACCCGGAAAACATCTGACAACTACCTCAAAGCTCATGACCTATACAATTAAACCTAACAAACATACAAACATCCAACGTGAGCAGAAAGTACAGAGTATTTTTACAAACAATATAATACGTATACATGTACAATCAGCGTAACAAAAACAAACCCATTATTATATATACTCAATTTGGAGTCGTTATGGCCTAAATACATGCTAATACATCAGTAACAATGTTAGCATAAGGAAAATAAATAGTTTACAGCATGTATCAAACGACACACGTCGTGCGTTGGCCCTCCTCTCCAAAGATTTTCTACCGAGCTTGAATCTAACACAGGTTATTCCTTGCGTATAGAGCTTGCCATAGTACAAAAACACAAAACATATTCCTTTGTTTGGACTTCACCGGTACCATAGACACATTTCTGATCTTCCTAGGGTACGCGGGACCAGCGGCCCTTCTGCACTGTCAGGTCGTGCTATGGCAACCTGTACCGAGTTGCAATAATTCTTTGAAACTCCTTGACGTCCATATCTTTATCCATGCCTGAGACGGTTAGATCGGGATCTCTTAGCAACCCCACAAACGAAATTTGTGCAAAATTGTTTGAAAATAATAACTTTTGCTGACTCGTCACATCATTATTTTTAGGATGATGAGTCTTATTTAATACTTCATATTTAATTTTTATCCCTAAGGCCATAACATTTAATGCAGGCAACAATTTGCTACATTGTTATTATTGTTAAAATTATTAGGATAGTGAGTTTACATAATTAAAGCGGCCTTCTTTGGCCAAATCACGAACAACCGATAGTCTTTGTTGCCTTCTCTTTTGTTATGAATGGGACTATGCAAGTTTGTGGTGCACTGGGATGGAGGAGACAAATACTTGTATGGAAGCCGTCGTCATAGCCGTTGAGGCTCCAAGGATGCGGGAACCAAAGGAAGCTGGTGTTGAAGGCCGATGATGTTGATACCAACAAACCTCTGTATGTATGTTTTATTATCCACATGAAAAGGACATACGGGTCGATTACGCTTCAAATTGTCAAAAGCCAGTGATTAAAACCTTGTTTCAAATGCTGATCGAAAAGAAATTGTCTCTTTTTACATTACAAAATGGAGGGTTTATAATTACCGTTTCCAAATTATCTTCAAAACGGCAAAAATCGTCCCTGAGTGGGCTTGAACCACCAACCTTTCGGTTAACAGCCGAACACGCTGACCGACTGCGTCAAAGCTGGGGAATGTTTGCCTGTCTGGGGGGGTGGGGGTGGGGGGTGGGGGGGGGAGGGTGAAAAGAGGAAGGAAGGAAGGAAGGAAGGAAGGAGGGAATGAAAAGAAAGAAGAAAAAGAGAGATGAAAAATAAAGAGAAGAAAAAGGAAAAAGAAAGAAAGACGGAAAAAGTTGAAAAAGAAAAACAGAAAAGAAAGCAGTCTCCACCCAATGCCGTTTCACCCCTAAATTTTCATTCTATAATGGTTTAGTTTTTTTATTTTTGATTATTGATCGATTAATGATCCGGATCACCACCAAAAACTAATGATCTGTTCCTTGGCCCTCTTCTAACAGTTCCTGAAAATTTCATCAAAATCGGTCCATAACTTTTTCTGTAATGTTGCTAACAGACAGACAGACAGACAGACAAACTAACTGAACCAAAAACATAACCTCCCTGGCGGAGGTAATTACTTTGACCTCAAACCATAGATTGCCTGGACTTTTGTTATTTGCATAACAACAAGTTGGTCATCGTAGTGCGAGCTGTCTTCCCGAATGCTCACTTGGCAGTTAGACAGAGTCGGGTGTAGACGCAACAGTATGTGTGGTGCAGTCAGAAGGTCGAGCTTTTATAAGGCGTGGAAGCAAATGTATGTTTGTGAGTATCACTATTTCTTCATCAACCACAGCCATTAAATACTAAAGGCGCAGAAGAATGAGAAAAATATTTACGACAAATATTTATGACATGAATCCTTTTACTATATTTCCATTGTTACTTGTATGTCACTCAGAATGGTAGATGTTATTGCTTACAGTGCATTGGGGCTCCATATGTTCAGGATAAACGGCGCATTCATCTGATTTTCGATGATAACCTAAGTTTGCTTGAAATCCTCTGCACTTTGTAACCCTCTGTATGAACATTTTGTGTGCCCCGGCCCTGACAATAAATTTTGAATATTTTGACGTAATTTAAAATGTCGTGTGTGTTTAAACGTAAGTATTACCGCCCAAATTAATTAAATGGATGATGCTTGTCACCATTCTTAGCTTCTGATCCAAGGATTTCGAGTGCTCATTGCACAATGATTGACAGATACATATTTTACACAGCCTGTCGTTTCCATTGTGCTGTGTGTTGTCCATCCATTACACGGTTCACTGTATGAAAACTTATTATATGTGTGCAATACATTTATTATAATTTTCAAAGAGAATCTGTACATGTAAATGATCTCTTTCTCTGAAATGCGTCAAACACGTGTTATAACTACAACACGTGTTATAACTTTTAATATCAAGAGGAATAGGGCCTACATTAACGGTCGCAGCAATAACCTCACTCACCCTGCAAATGAAACGGGTTGTACTATCAATGTTACTTTTTAACAAGAGGCCTAAAATAGTTATATCATTAATTAATTCCATATCATATTTTTGAACATCTAACTAGTTAATAAACGTGCACGCCATTCCATTTATATGTGCCCTCTGCCCTGTGATATTACATGCATTATTAGAATGTAGAGAGCCCGTCTGTTCAGTTCAAAGTTGTAAACATTATTTTATCTTTTCAGGAGCTCAACGAGATTCTGCACAGCATCCGCCTGAAAGCAACCTATGAAGTCTAGCCTTTGTTTCACACACAGAACGCACGCTCCTTCGTACATCTATTTTATGAAAACTCAATAAAAAAACTTTCGTAATTTGGCGTTTTATTTTTCACTTTGTTATGAAATTATAATGATAAAGATACATGTAGTAGTAATCATAATGGAAAATGTTTGAGGACTTTCAAATTCAATCTGATCTGTAAATAATGTCAATTTTTGCGGTTGACGGTTTTCTGTGGTACCTAAATTTTAAATAGTTGTAAAATGACCAGTGTTTTCTGAATAACCCCTCCAAGCTGTTTTAGCGCACTGAAATAAAATATCTAAAATGGTTTCCAACAACCTACATTTTATAGTTCAAATTGATATAAATTTACAATCTTGGTTTTTAAAAAATTCACATGAGATTTTTGTTCTATAGCATATGGTAATTATTCGTTTGGATATAATTCTTCCTATATTTTCTTATATAGGGAGGGTCCCATTTTGGCTTTCGCTATCGTGAATTGTTTTAATTTGGCGGCTTATTATTAGTATAAATACTGGATTTGATATTTGAACGCAATAATGAAACGGTGGGATGATTTCTGATGCGAGCTCAAATCAAGTTAGTTTCTTTTTAAATGGATACGGCTGAAATTGGCCAGAAATTTAATTTCTGAGGGTAAAACAGAATTTCTTCAGTTCCTGTGGGGATAATTACAAGATTCGCCCCATCTGTCACCCCTTCTTATGCAATGGACTCACCCCTCTTATACAATGGACTCGTCCCACCTGTCACCCCTTCTTATGCAATGGACCTGCCCCACCTTTCACCCCTCTAATGCAATAGACCTGCCCCACCTGTCACCCCTTCTAAAGCAATGGACTCACNAATGGACTCGCCCCACCTGTCCCCCCTTCCATGCAATGGACTCGCCCCACCTGTCCCCCCTTCCCATGCAATGGACTCGCCCCACCTGTCACCCCTTCTCATGCAATGGGCTCGCCCCACCTGTCACCCCTTCTCACGCAATGGGCTCGCCCCACCTATCACCCATTTATTTGGAATGGAGTCGCTTCTCCTGACATCCCTCAGATAGAGTGGGTTTTCTCCACTAAACCCCTCCAATTTGAATGGACTCCCCCAATTTGTCTATCAAATGACCGTGGCGTACTATTCAACCTTGCTTGCTTCTGTCAAGTCTTCACTGCTAAACCTTTTCACTACTCCTGTGTTAGTTGAGCTTGTGAGCATTTGATTTGAATGAATTTTCTAAAATGAAGTTAAAACAATCCATTAAATAATCACAAACGCCAATCAACAATCAGGATTGCTTAAAAACAAATTTTAAATAATTTTGATAAACATTATTACATAATTGAAGTCTAATTTTATAGGTTTTTTAAAGCTTTTCATCATGTCGGTAATTTCGGGTAGGTACCGACTGCCCAAGGATTCTAAAATCCTCATCGCTCTAGTTGCAGACTAACCCCAACCCTAATTTGTAATCAGCCACTAGGTGTAGTTAACACAGCGTATGGGGCAGGTTTGATGTCCAACGTTATACCGACAGCGTCTTTTACTTTTTTATAACATTGTTAGAACGTTTTAATACTAGATGTGATGATTAATGTTGTGCAAATTGTAGTAATGCAAAATATGAAATGCTTTGTTCATTTGTTTTTGTCAAAATTAACAAAAAAGTATAATTTATAAATTTCATCAAAATTTATATACGTTAATAGAACTTGCTCGCAACTTTTCTCGGATCAATGATCCGAGAAACGTTGCCAGTGACAATGACAGTGGCAGTGTACAACGTTAGAATAACGTTCTCTTAACATTTGTTGATGGTCTAACCAATATATAACCCTGTTATCAACACGTTCTGTGTAAGCTGGGTATATGTTACCTTCATTATTTTGCTTGTGTGAAAAAACATTTATTAACGAGAGATCTAATATCTATGAAACCAAACTTGATTTTTTTTATTTTTAAATAAACTCAAATGACACTATAAATAGATTTTTATTAATGATAATAAATGATGGGTTATTGCTTTAAAAGTAACTACAAAAAAATTCAACCTTAAAGATACATTCCATGGATTTGAAAATCCCCCAAACGCCATCCACAGCAGTGGCGGATTTAAGGGGCCCGGGGTGTCAGGGGGGTCCTGACACCCCCTTCAATTTATGAATAAAAAATCACACCAATGGTCCCCCTCTTGCAATTAGAATTTTGACTAGCTGAATCATAGTCTCTGAACCGTACCAAATGGCACCGTTCGCCCTTTAAATTACCAAAAAATTTCGGGGCCCCGCACCCCACACCAAGGGTGGGGGGTATGGTCGGCTTCGCATCCGCGGACCCCCCCCCTTCAATAAATCCTGGATCCGCCCCTGGGTAGGCTTTGTTTGTTTGCGTGTATGTGAGACGTAAGTGAGGAGTAATTAGGAAGTAGTGGATAGTATTGTATTTTACATTGCAATATTCATTTCTTCAGCTTAACAAAAAAAAATATATATTGGACGTGGCGAAGTGATTGCTGCATCACCTGAACGCCGGTGTAACGTGACGGAGAGAGTCCCCCATGACAGAGAGTCCGCTCCCCATTAATTCGCACAGGTAAACCTCGCCCTAGATTTTGACTCATTATAACAAACTGGAAGGCGGACTTTCCGTTACACTGACCCTCAGTTTCGTTACATCGGCAAAACTGTAGATGAACCGCCGTTTGTGCAGGTAAATGCGTTAGAGAAGACGCACAGAGCGCATATTGCGTGTCGTTTTTTCTTGTCAAATGCCCGTCAACTCGTACTATACCGTGTGGTGACATCAGCGCTGTAGGGATGGGAAACATGTAGGCCTGCGATTCACATGCATGTATGACATAAATATAAATATTTTGGTTTACTAAATAATTTGTTTTACTTCCCCCATTTTGTCTAAAGAGGGCATTAAATTGCATTAATATAATAAAAAAATGAATGGCCCTAAAAGAGCTGTGAGTTAATTTCATCCAATCTCAAAACTAACTAAGTTACATTGCTCTGTGGTCGAAAAAAGAGGTGCTGTCTTGGAAAATACCGGAAATTGATTGCAAGTTTCCCACTGCGCCGATGCAACCGGAAGCATGTGCGAAGGACTCGACAGCTTGGTCGAATTATTTGATATTCCATTAAGCTTTACGTTAACTCCCATCGCTCGCAGAATCTAGTAAAAAATGTTGTAGTTATTTTGTTATTTAGCCAAAGAGAGACGAGGAAGCATATGTAGAGTTGCAAAATGTACAGGACAGCGCTGTGTGGCCTGCGGAAACGATGTGCTTCAAAGGTACAGTGTAATTTTATTTATTTATGTAAAATGTATACAAATTCACATGTACATGTTTGTGATTTTCACATTACTGAAATCAGTAGCTAAATTGAGTGACTCTCGTGTGCGCTATAATTGATCACATAACCTTTTAATTTGTAGCGGATTTTTCTAATTTTACTAACGCAGATGCCATGAAAATCCTTGCTACTGCTACTGTAGTGGTAGGGGTACTTTAACGGTGCTAGTTAAACGTTTAAACGTACATGTCATGTGCCAGAACCCCGTATATTTGTTTTTTATCTAAATTTATTATGGGACTGAAACTCTACTCTTCAACTTAAGGTAGTTTAAACATATTTACAGTAAGCATCTCTGAAACAAAGTCCCTTCACAAACTTACACACACACACAAACACAATTTGCCATCTTTGGAATAGTGAAAACGTAGTCAATCAAATGACTCTTTAAAACCATAACATGAAAGGTGCTCAGTGGGGCAAGATGTGATCACAAGTTTTTTCAAACTCCATTTTAGGGATTATGTGGAATTTGGGTGTTTTAATACAGTGAATGATGAAAGGTAACATTTGTATTTGGTTTCCAGATTGCAGACAGTGTTAGTAAAATCACTGGCCAGGCTGTGGGAGATGAAGCCAGGCTTGCCATTGCACTCTCACTTAAGTACCCTGAAAATCTCAGGAAAGCAAGGTGGAGTTTTAAATCACTAGCATATTTAACAAATAAAACTTACTAGCATATTTAACAAATAAAACATACTTAAAGCACTGAAATGTACTATATAATATTTAATATATAACTACAGTATGAAAATCAGACATCCAATGCATAATTAGGTAAGATATTATGATTTTAACAGGTTAAGTCTAGTTTAATATATATAAAGGACTATGTTTACACTGACTCGTGCTATTAGCCATTGATGGTTATGCTGAAAATAATTATATGCAGATATTATTTCCCATGAAATTTTAACATTTTTCCATAATCACTTAAGGACATTTTGTCCAAAACTGTTTATGTCAATTTCACCTACATGTACCAGTAATGTCTGTTTCGTGGTTTAGTTTTCATTTTGTCAAATCTATCAGTTTACCTGGGAGAAAACATTTTGTGATTTTGTTTTCATTTTGTGGTCTATTCTATCACAGTTTATCTGTGTGAAAACATGATGGCTAGTGATGCCATTATTTTCCTATTTTACCATTTCAGTTCTCCCCATTACCACCTGTCTGTCCCCACACTAAAGTCCATCTGTAAACTTGATGATGAAAGTGCAAATAAGCTATTCAGTAGGGTGAGGAGAACTTGTATAATATAATATAATATAATATAATATAATATAATATAATATAATATAATTGATCAAATTGTTTGGTTTATTGGTTGGGAAAAAAAGCATTTTTGAATTTAAACAAAATGATGATAATAAATGTATTATGAAAAATTAGGATTAGTGATATGTCTACACATTATATGATAGAAAAAAAATCACTAAATAACGGTATCAGATCGAAAGAAATACATTTCAAGTTCCTGTACCGTATTCTGTTCCATGTATTTCTATCATTTTCACTTCACATGAAAATCATGATCGTTTTTTATTCAAACAAATCTTCACATTCTATGTAGCTTCACTTAGACTTTTTGGGTGCAGATGTTGATGATGGAGCAGTACAGTTGTTGTCAGAAGGCGGGACAGCAAGGCTTGGGTTCTACCTCCCCATTGAACCTTTTAATAAGGTATTATAGACTAAGGAATAGAGATAATTGTTTTGTGGATTTATCCAGATAACTGGATATTTAGGTGTTGTTTTTAACCCTATATTTATAGCTGTGTACCTTCAGTGCCTTTTTCCAGATTTCTGCAAAGGCCCATCCCATCTCTTAGTAGTCAGAGCATATTTTTCACTCTTCCTGATAAATGTGTCCAATGTATTCTTAAAAATGATTTACCCTCAGAATTTGAACAAATTAAATGTGATCGCTGATATTTTTCAAAACCAGTCTCATCTTCTTTGTCTGGAAAAGAAGATTCAAAAGATTTCAGAAGTGAAAAGACTATATCTTATAAAGAAAATGTGAGTTACTGAAACTATCACAGTCAGCTTTCTTCAAGCCCGTAGCTGTCAAGTTCAAAAGGGAGGTCTTTTTTGTAAAATATGCACCATTTTACCCACTTAGTTGACCAAACACAAAACATGGCATTGAATCTGGACCACTTTTGATTATGAGCAGACCATTTCTTACCAGTAAGGCAGTTTTCTTGAATCCCGCTACCCACAAGTCCATTGTTTTTCTCAGTTTTTCTTCTTTTCCAGGCTGTTCTCACGTCCATACTTGAAGAAGGCAAGAGGTATGGACTGCAGAGTGTACTGCACCAGGCGGCTCTGGGGGAAGATGGCCGACCAGTTCCTGTGCCGCAGAACCAGAAAGTTGTCGTAGAATTCAGGTATCTTTTTAAAAAAATGATGGCTGATTGTTTTAGAAATCTGGTGTGTGCTTCACTGTTTATCTCAGTCTGTGGAAGTCAGGCACTTGGTCTTATATTTCTCAGATTAATTTTTAATCAGACTTATTTCTTCTTTACCAGAAACTTCCAATAGATGAAATTTTGATATTATATTTTTAAATAAAATATAAAATAATTTATGATATAATATAATTGATTTGACTTTTAATTATTTTATTTCTAGTTCCCCAAACATAGCCAAGCCCTTCCATGCTGGTCACTTGAGGTCCACTATTCTGGGACGCTTTGTGTCCAGTCTGAACCAGGCTCTCGGACACCAAGTGGTCAAGATCACTTACCTGGGCGACTGGGGAACACAGTTTGGTCAGTTATCACAAAACAATCATGGTATTTCTCAAAATGAATTTCAGGAATTTTAGTTTCAGTGAATGTTTTTTGTAGTAGAGACATGATGATAATTTTTGCCAAAAAGTAATTTGTGAGTGTATAAGTATGTTTGTTTGTGTGGTTGCAGAAAGTAACGATTATCTTCAAGTAGTGTGGAAGCCTCAGTTGAAAATCATTGTGTGTTTAGTTTACTATATTCCAGTTATTTATGATATTGTGCTTCCTCTGGGGTAGCGCTAACACTCGCCAATTTAGCCAAATGCTAAAACTGACTCAAATTGGCTAAACAAAAAGGGTTTGATTTGACTAATTTTAGTCAAATTAAAGCCATCTGGATAACAAAGTGACAAAAAAGTGGTGGCGCTACCCCAGCTTCCTGTATGTGTCTCTTTAAATGACAAAATCTTAATTTTTGCAGGGTTGTTGTGTATTGGATATGAAAAATATGGCTCTGAGGAAAAGCTAAAGGAAAATCCAATGAGGCATTTGTATGAGGTAAAGTAAGCAACAAATTTTTAATGTGTTGATATGTAGATAGAGTAACAAATATTGAGAAAAGTACTATTTCTTATTTGTTACTAATTTGTAACAAAATTCTGCTTCATGGCCTTCTTACTTATTTCACCTCAAATAAAGACATTTAAGATATTTAAAAAGTGGGTATATGTCTTGTAAGATATATCAATTATTAATACCAACTTCTTACACGACAAATTAAATTTCAAATGCCAAAAAATCAATTGAAGTTAAGTTTTCCATGCACAGAAGAAAGGCTTTAAAACTGCACCTTTTCCAAATTTGTAGTTTTAAACTTTACCTTGACTCTCTATTTATCTCCTCAGTCCATAAAGTGTAGACTGAAAAAATATCTGTGAAAATATCTTTTTTTGGGGAAATATTCATAGTTTTCAAACTTAAATAAGCAATACATTTTGCTTATGACAGTAACAGTGAGAGGGTTTTAAGTGTGTGAAGTTCTCTTTCCATAGGTATATGTCAAGATAAACCAAGATGCAGAATCAAACCCAGAAATACAAGAACAAGGCAAATCTTACTTCAGGCGAATAGAGGATGGTATGATTGCGTAAAATCAGTGTCTATGATTTGCCGTTTAAATGTCATGATTATACAAACTGCAATAATTTGACATTTTTTTTAAATTATAAAAATGGAGTTATTCTAACCATTCTCTACTTTTTTTTCAGGGGAAGAACAAGCGGTTTCTCTTTGGAAACACTTTAGAGACCTGAGCATAAAAAGTTTTGTTGATACATATAAAGTAAGTATACCTCTTTTTTTTTTAGAATGATGCACACTAAAGATATATCTAAGAAATACACGAAAAGAGTTATTAGTGTTGCTGTATTTGGTGCAGTATGCTTGTTATTTCTTCACTCTGAATTAAATTATAGTATTACTTAGTTTGAAAGGATGCAGCAGTTTGAAAGGGTTTAAATGACTTTCTGTTAATGTTTATTTCAGAGACTAAAAATAGAGTTTGATGAGTATTCCAGTGAATCTCTTTATTCCGATAAAGCTAAGTCTATAGTTGAACAATTGAGACAGAAGGGATTATTAGATGAAAGGTGAGGATTCAACATACATTATAATGTATAAATGAAGTTTTAAATCTATATGGACTTCAACATATTCTGTGGAATCCCAGAATTCTGAGAGTTTTAATTTGATTCTGGTGGGACCCAAGGCTGCCCCAGATCCTCAGCTAATTTGTTTTGTCCTTCAATAAATCTTAAGATGTTTTTGTAAAAGCTAGGTTCATGTCTGGTGCTTAAAATTGGTGATGTCGCATTTTCTCCTCAGGGACTACAGCCGTATAAAATACGTGTGAAACTATCCTCAGTCTTCATGTGTAAATGCAGATTACAAAATAAATGTACATAGCAACATTACATTTTAATGTAAAGACATTTGATTTTTCTTCAGTGTTATCTTTATTACATTTAGTGCTTTACCTGAGAAGTTCAGTGAAATGATTTCATTTTATTAACACGAAATGTTCATGGAAGGACTATATTTTTCAGCGAAAGTAGTCAAGCAGCTGTGATGAAACTTCCTGGTAGCAAAGAAGGAGAAGATAGAAAAATAACTTTACTTAAAAGTGATGGCAGTACATTATACTTGTCAAGGTGAGTGTACTTTATATCTCAAAAATGTTAGACAGTGTTAGGTAATTGTCTTTTAACCATTTTTCTTTTTTTTTTTTCATTTTGATATTTATATAAATGTTGTATCAGAGCTGCCATTGAATTTGTGCTTAGTTTAGTTTTTTCAGTAGGATTGGTACTAAGTTTTAAAGTGTACATATTATTTTCAAATTTTGTTTTGTAACTTAATTACTCGACAACTTTTGATGCCTTATGAATAAAAGTCATTTTTTACTTTCTAAAATTAATATATAGTAATATAATAATTAGTTTATTTTGTCCAAGGTCCTCCTCATTCTGCCGTTTATGTTACTATGACAATTTGTTAAATATTTCCATCCATTTTCTGTCACATAACAAGATATATATCTGTACGTGTATCTGTACTGTATCTGTCCATGAGGTATTATTTACCTGTCACAATGAATGTTGATAGCTGAGTTATTTGTCCTCTTGTCCTTCCTTTCAGGGACCTGGCTGCTGCTATTGATAGATATGAAAGGTTCTCCTTTGACAGGATACATTATGTGGTAAGAGGGTCATCAAAACCTGTCTTATTGTAACTGAAAATGTCTTATTTTGAAATTGTATAGTATAAGCTTACTTGTCTGCGATAGCTTTGCCCTTTACAATATGCTGTTTATTATTCATCATTGATGCATATTTCTGTGACTAATGAAGAGATCGATGAGTATTTCAGTGAGTCTCTTTATTCTAATAAAACAAAATCTAGTAAAACGTCCATGACGTATTATGGAAAACAAAAAGCGTATTACCTATTATTATGTACTCCAAATTTTCAAACACTTCCCACTGATCACTTGTTATATTTACCAACCCACAAGAGTTTCTTACTGGAATGGGTTCCTAGAAGTGTTGAATGAAATAGTATGGTACAAATGCATAAACATTTCATTGTGGTTATTATATATTGTTGAAAAACATTTCTGGTAAATACCCTAATCCTTATGTTTATATACTTGTTTATTCAGTATTTGAAAGCTTACACCCCAATCACACACTGATTGAATTATGTATACCAATTATAGTTAGGGCTCCTACTATGTACTGTTATATATTCATTATTCATTATAATTATTATTATTATTATTATTATTATAATAATAATTATTATTATTATTATTATTGTCATTTAGATTTAATACTATATTATTTGTGTTAAGGTGGGTTCAGAGCAAGCGTCACACTTCTCAAACATACTGCAGATATTACAGAGACTGGGACACCACTGGACAGAACAGTGAGTAGGCTTAGACCTGTATTAGAATGAAGGCTTTGACCTGTATTAGAATGAAGGCTAAGACCTGTATTAGAATGAAGGCTAAGACCTGTATTAGAATGAAGGCTTAGACCTGTATTAGAATGAAGGCTTAGACCTGTATTAGAATGAAGGCTAAGACCTGTATTAGAATGAAGGCTTAGACCTGTATTAGAATGAAGGCTTAGACCTGTATTAGAATGAAGGCTAAGACCTGTATTAGAATGAAGGCTTAGACCTGTATTAGAATGAAGGCTTAGACCTGTATTAGAATGAAGGCTAAGACCTGTATTAGAATGAAGGCTTAGACCTGTATTAGAATGAAGGCTTAGACCTGTATTAGAATGAAGGCTAAGACCTGTATTAGAATGAAGGCTTAGACCTGTATTAGAATGAAGGCTTAGACCTGTATTAGAATGAAGGCTAAGACCTGTATTAGAATGAAGGCTTAGACCTGTATTAGAATGAAGGCTTAGACCTGTATTAGAATGAAGGCTAAGACCTGTATTAGAATGAAGGCTTAGACCTGTATTAGAATGAAGGCTTAGACCTGTATTAGAATGAAGGCTAAGACCTGTATTAGAATGAAGGCTTAGACCTGTATTAGAATGAAGGCTTAGACCTGTATTAGAATGAAGGCTAAGACCTGTATTAGAATGAAGGCTTAGACCTGTATTAGAATGAAGGCTTAGACCTGTATTAGAATGAAGGCTAAGACCTGTATTAGAATGAAGGCTTAGACCTGTATTAGAATGAAGGCTTAGACCTGTATTAGAATGAAGGCTAAGACCTGTATTAGAATGAAGGCTTAGACCTGTATTAGAATGAAGGCTTAGACCTGTATTAGAATGAAGGCTAAGACCTGTATTAGAATGAAGGCTTAGACCTGTATTAGAATGAAGGCTTAGACCTGTATTAGAATGAAGGCTAAGACCTGTATTAGAATGAAGGCTTAGACCTGTATTAGAATGAAGGCTTAGACCTGTATTAGAATGAAGGCTAAGACCTGTATTAGAATGAAGGCTTAGACCTGTATTAGAATGAAGGCTTAGACCTGTATTAGAATGAAGGCTAAGACCTGTATTAGAATGAAGGCTTAGACCTGTATTAGAATGAAGGCTTAGACCTGTATTAGAATGAAGGCTAAGACCTGTATTAGAATGAAGGCTTAGACCTGTATTAGAATGAAGGCTTAGACCTGTATTAGAATGAAGGCTAAGACCTGTATTAGAATGAAGGCTTAGACCTGTATTAGAATGAAGGCTTAGACCTGTATTAGAATGAAGGCTTAGACCTGTATTAGAATGAAGGCTAAGACCTGTAGTAGAATGATTGCATATTACCATTGTGGTCAGATAATAAGTGATTTTGATATATTTGTATTTGTTTGGGACATAAGAAAAAAAATTAAGGTTATTTCATTGCTACATAAATATAATTGTTGTTTTTTGGTGGTGGGAGAGAAAACCAAATTTAAATTTTGTTCAGTTTTGGGAGTTGGTTGAAATATTTGTATGCATATCTTGTTGATTACACCATATTCAAAGTCTTGAGGTGATAAAACTGAAATTGTTTTTGTTGGGATTTACTCATGTTTGCATGTGTTGAAATGTGAGATTCAGAGATTTAAAGATTTTATGCTGAATATGTTACTCTTACTAAGATAACTGACATTTCATGCATTTGTGTGGTAAAATGTATCAAGTGCTCTGAGATAGTAAATTCAAGAAATCAAAAAAAAAATTCTGAACATAATGTATTTAGTCTTATGTCTGTTAAAGACATATCAAAGCAGGATAAATCATTTCTTGTGATGTTTAGTTAAAGCACTGTCCACTTACATTGAAATGGTAAAACATTTCCTGTTAGATGTGCCTCTGGTTTCCACATTGACTTTGGTGCAGTGAAGGGCATGAAGACCAGGAAGGGCACTGCAGTATTCTTGGAAGATATTCTGGATGAAGCTAAAGCTGTAGCTCTTCAAAAACTACAGGATACGGAAAGTAGGTTTTACATAAGCTAATGGAGCTCAAACAAACTTGTGAGGTTTTGAAGTGAAAAAGGAGCCTGATCATTTTGTCTCTTTTTGTTGTTAAAGATAGGTGGTGTACACAGTGTATTTTACAGTTCAAGAATTGACTATTAGCTGCAAATCAGAACAATTTATGTATCAAATTAAAAAAACAAAATAATTAATATTTATTGAAAAAAATAAAGGTAAACTTCTCTTGTTAGCAATCAGTTGATTTGCATTTTTCTCAGTCTTATTTTGAAATAAATGTGTGTACGTATGTGTGTCTGAAGAATGTTGAAGGCATTTTTTCCTTTCATTAGTTGGGTGTTATCTTTGTTGTCATGTCCTTTGTAGGCTATATAAATTTAAGTAATCATCATCAACATTTACAGAAATACCATTTATCTTCGATTTTAATATATATATATATATATATATATATATATATATATATATATATATATATATATATATATATATATATATATTTTTTTTTTTTTTTTTTT